GAAGTATAGGAAGTATTGCAATCACTAAAAATTTTGGGTATCATATTTCAACGAAAATACCTATTTTGACCTCTATCAAATGCAATTTAATGACGTTTTCGCGTGACAAATGCATGTAAAGGCAGAATAAAGTTCTCTTTTTCCCAAAATGAATTATAAGACTGATTTAAAATGGATTTAGAAAAGATTTTTTTCTCGTGGTGTCAGTATGTACATGCATATCTAGCATAACTGAAAAATGAGTAGTCTCAGAACGTTGACATTCTGTATATAGGACTGCTATAACATGTAGTTATGCAATTCCCTCTTTTGTTGCAATTGGCCGCACCAAACATATATAAATATATACCACTTCATTGCTTAGCGTATTCTTACATGTTGGTAAATTGTGCATTTTTATCTTTAAAATGATTGAATTATGTTGTTCTTATCTTCCGGTTAAGATTTCTATGCCTTTAGTTAATCTGCATGTAATAGTTGTAGAATTATCAACAACATAATAGTTGTTTAAGTGCAGCTAAGCCTAATTTTTTTTAACCATAGCAGCCATACATTTGAAACACAGCAGTTTCTGCATTTTCAATGTCTTTTTATTGCAGAGTGGGACCAAAAAGAAACTTTGTTCTGTGCACCGGAAAATCCGCTTTGCCTGCTCGCTGAATTGCTCATTTTTGCATAGAAACTAATTTTAATTGCCAAAATGTATTTTAACTGCATCTGGTGGTTTATGTTTCTCTATATCTTTCAATTTTTTAATCAAGATATTTTGATTAATGTATTTTTGCCTTGCTGCGAAATGAGAACTGAATTAATGAGAAATCTATCTCTAATGGAATTTGAGGAAATAAATGAAATGCAGTAAAAAATGCGTATAATTTAATATTCTATACAAGGAAGTCATATGGCATCCGTATCAGATTTTTTTATAACTTTCTAAAACCAAAAGCACACGGAACAAACGCACAAAACGGGTTTCCATTCTCTTCTGCTCCCAAGTTTTCTTTTACCAAAAACATTACATAATTGCTCAGCACAACGATTAGTCTCTTTTAAAATCCTATCCACTATTTCAACATTTATAAAATGCTCATAGCACTAAAACACTTGAACTACTTTAAAATGAGATGTTAACCCTTAGGCAATAATTTGAACTGAAAACATGGAGGACTATTAGGCACAATTTTGTTTCACTAGCACTCTGTCAGAAGTTGTACAGGATTGTCACTATTATCATACAACTTCTGGATCAAAAGCATCTGAAACTGCCTTCTGAATCATATTCCGATTCTTCTTGTCACTTGAGCTACTCATTTTAAAAATAGTAAACATGAAAAACGATGAGCACTTAAATTGAATCCTTTAAAAATATACTCTAAAGGAAAAAGTTTTCTCAATCTACATACCATTGTTGTATAATCAAATTAAAAGTACTGCACTGCCATCTGTGAATCTACATTGTAAATAAATAAAACTGATAATGGTGCGATAAAAACTGGAATTCTCATAACTTTTTACTTTAAAAATACATTCTGTGTGAAACAGGGGTGCAGCAGCTAAGTAGTTAATATATATATTAACTATCAAATGATGAGAGATTTTGCAGAATTACTCTGCTTGGCAACAACATTTTTTAACTAATATAAGTGATACTCAAAAATTTGCAACACAGAATTCTCAATGTTACATACTTTAAAATAAATTATAATCATAATTTCATATGCAGAATTTGGATATTAGGAAAAATGCTATACCAGACTGAAAAAAATGATTAAATTTTTATTGGTTAATTTTGCTTTTTATAAGGCTTTCTTTTCCTTTTAAAATAGCAAATTTTTTAAAATTTTATATAACATTATCTTTAAAATTATGCATAATTTATTAAAATTGGAACTGAACTCAATTTTGAAAATATTATTTGCTGGTAATGGAACTATAATAGTGTCACAATAGTGCAAAAAGAACTACTCCTGCACCACCTCTACATCTTAATGGCAGCATGCACCAACAGATCCGATTCTTTAAACAACATCTATGGGCTCAAAATGGGTTCGCTCACACCACTGTGGGCCATCTATTAAAAAATATTACACCTATGAAATTAACATGCTGTGAGGGGACTCTGCAAGTATCATCTAAGAATGATACAGTAATTAAGGCTCACTCCAGGAAGGAGTTTTTGGAGTGATCGGTAGGACCGTCATGCTACAAACCAGAAGTTTCGAAGCTCTATCCTTGCTCAGCAGCAGCAGGCAGATGAACATACATTTCATAGGCATCCTATATTGGCAAACATTGCCACGAATATATAATAATTATGTAACATACCTCTATTTAAAGTAAACTGAATTTACTACAAAAATCAGAAATTTCTTTTATGTTACCAATGGTATTTATTGCATTAACAATCAGTTTATCAAGCAATTTATGCTTGATAAACTGATTGTTCAATTTTATGTAACTGTTTATGTCTAACCTATGGTAACACTACATGGTTTTTGAATTTTAAATGGAAGCCTGAATTTATGTATCTGAAAATAAATGCAGTGAATTCTGTGAACTACAAGTAGACAGAATTACTAAATACCTTCCTATATGACCACAGATTTTAAATACTTTTAAATTCTGAGAGCATATTATTGAAATTATTGAAGAATAATAAAAATACATATTTTGTTTACTAGAAAAATTACGATATAGGAAAAAAAAAAAAAGTATCGCAAATTAAGATTTTGATTAAAAGTTACACATTTGTTTCTATAAGTGTTCACATTTATTTATATAGCAAATTTTTATAAGAAAATATATAAATATTAAATTTACAGTGAAAATGTAATAAGAGCACAAAGACAGACAAAAATGTAAAATGTTGTTGTGTTATTAATATGTTCAATGAGAAGAGGATTTGACATGTTTTCCAACTAGCCTGTTGCAGGATACACAGAATATAAATAATGCACACAATAAATTTAGCTGCACATTTCACAGAAAACTGGCCACTTCATTGCAGAGCTTGCAGGATAAGAACTACCATTTTGGATTATTCAAATATCTATTCATAGATTGAAAATAAAACCAAGAAAAGCATACAAGATCCAAAAATACTGCTGTAAGTTACAACAAAAAATAAAACTGCTTAAGCACAAAATAGCTAGAAACAGAATTAGAAAAGTTGTAACATTCTGCAGGAAGTGTGAACCCAAACTTCATCTATGTTTAAAACTTTTTCAAAAGCTACGCAAGATGTAAATATATTTTTATAGCCAGTTGAATTGCTGAATGGTGCAGGAATTACTTTATTTTTCTCAAACCTATTAACAATGTAAGTAGTAACTACACCCCCATTTGCTTTAGGTATTTTATAACTTATAATAGGGCCTTTTATCCTAACTCTCGAAGCATTTACTTCTTCTTTAAAAAATGCAAAAAGGTTCCATTGATTGAGGATTCTAGATAAGCATTTCTTTAAAGACAGCCAGCGTGCACACACATATTTCAAAATGTTTCTCATTTCAGTAATATGCAGCTATTGCCAATTGTTTCAAATTTCTACCTTCCTTTTAGCAACTCTTTCCAAGATAATAATAAATATCAACAATGTGTTCATCCACATTTATTGGTAAAGAAGCTGCCCCTTTTCAGCTGCTAAATTTAAGAGGTGACAGGTGCATCTCATAATCTGCATATCTGAATTTTCCTTTCTTAAGATGCCTGCGACACCAGGCTTCAAGCCTACCATTACTGGTACATTATCAGCACCAAGTGCTAAGCAATTCGATAAACTGATTGTTCAATTTTATGTAACTGTTTATAAATATTTGCTACTAAAGTGGGGACAGAAAGTAAACTGCGCTCAATGTCTGAAGACTCTGGATTAAAAAAAGAAATAATTCGATACAGTTTTGAATCGGTATTATTGCTTCCATCCGTAGAGAGGCAGAACGGAGCTGTTTTGATGCAATCAATAACTGAAGATTTATTTTTCAAACCCATTTCTTTAACAATTGCACCTGTTTTGGTCCTTGCAATTCAGTATTTCTTAGCGATTTCACTATTAGGAAACATTTTTCTAAATAAAGCTGCAGCGTGATCTTATGCATTCAGTGCTCCAGTAAAAAGGCAGAGAACAGACATTCTGCATTAATAACTTTTTGGTCCTTTGTTTCCAAAGAAAAATTTAATTTTTCATTTCTTTTCAAAACAACTCACATTGTTTTGTGTTTTTGTATACACACATGATTGAGAACATCCGCCCTTCCACCATGCGAAATCGAAAAATCGCAACGACAGACGGTACACATCGCAAATTTATTACATTTCCTTGAGGAAATAATGGAAGGAAAGTCAACTGTGTACTATTTTTGAAACGTAAGGGAGTATTTCACCTTTCTCGCAGACATAACAAAAGATGATAATTTCTAAAACTATTTCCCGAAACCCCGTGTACTCGCACAACTCAGAACAAGATGAACAAAATAACTAAAGAACATCCAAATAACAGCCTTGAGCTTGCTTTGTGCTCATTGGCTAATATATACCAGATGACACGCAGTGGACCTCGATGGCCATTGGAGAACGATGTTTCTGGATACGTAATGCTCTCACTCACAAAGCAGAAATTCTCATCTTATTCACAAGATTTTGTTTTACATATAATCTAGAGAAAATTCAATTGCTATCAGACATCTAAAATCACTTTTTTTTTTGTGTGTTCATATAACCAAGTATTAAGCAAAGTTCCATAAAAATCGTGAGAAATTTTAAGAATAAGAAAAAGTCGGGAGAAATATATTGTAAATCGGGTTGGCGGGAGAGCGGTCGAAAATCGGGAGAGTTGGCAACTCTGCTAACATGTTCCTTAATATGTTGCTTCTGCAAAAAACGCTAACAGGAAATGTAAGAAAATTAATATGAAGATTTGTTCTGAATAATAATAATTATAAAAGAAGCAAAGCAATTTTAGCTTCAAAGACAATATGCATTAAAAAAAAAAACAGGAGAAAAACTGGAAAGCATTAATTTATTATTTACACTGTTTGATGAAAAATTCATACATATTTAGGTGGAGAATTCACATATTTCTAAGTAATGAGATTTAATGGTATGAAAATGAGTTATTTTATACACTGCTAATGAATGAGTAGTGGCTGATTGACCACATCACAGTTTCCATGGATCGGCCTTCATGTCCCTGAATATGTACATTTACATATAGCTTCATATATAATGTTATATAATACAACTGCTTCCAAGCCGTCCATTATTATGAAGACATTTTTAACAGCATCCATATTTATATGTACAGACTAGTATAAAACGTTTAATTTTTTGATTTATAATCACTCGAACTGTGGTCTTTATGGCGTTCATTGCTTCTCCTTCTCCAAGAATCAGCATGTCCTTGGTATGACCCATATGAGTCAACTGGATGTTCAACTATACCGGGAGGTGGAGGCTGCGAGCCCATATTAGGTGAATGAACTGGTGGCACTGGTCCATAATTGTATCCACTATGAGCAGGAGGAGGTTGCTGCAAACCATAATGAGGTGGTCGCATGCCATAATGAGAAAATCCTCCACCATGCTGGCCTGCTGGATGATACCTAGGAAAAAGGGGAAGGAAAAGTATAATTTATAATAAGGCTAAAAACAAAAACTTCTTTTGTACAGACATTAATTTTACAGTTTAAAACTCCAACATACATTTTCTTATAATAACATGTACTGAATTGCATATATAAATATATTCTGAGTTGTATACCTAACTTATATGCCTACATTCTGAGTACAGTCCTTGATTTTTGATGGTTTGAACTTAAGACAGCCAAAAAATCATTATAAAAAATTTCTCTATATTGTTCTGAACACATAAAAACTTGCTGCAGCATATACAGCTATGAAAATGATATCTCCACTTCTAACTTATCACTGTTTTTGACATATTAATAGCTAATCAAGAATCTGTGTATTTGCTGTTGCTGAAATTTTGTATCTCAGCATATCCCCTATTATATGCAATAAGAGAGGCAAAATTACTAATGGAAATTCCGCATAAAAAGGATGCAGGAAGCTTTAAATTTAGATGTTGAAATGAAATTCATTAAGGAATATGACAAAAGGAAGAAAGTTGATAAAATAAGAAAGGAAAAATGATCAAATTTAAAGGTTGTCAACTATCATATAAGATAAATAAAAATGTAATGGAGATAATTATAAGCTAATTAACATAAAATACATTAAGTTCAAAAGTGGAGAAAGCTGAGTGCAAATTTTGCCAACATAACACCTTTCATTTTGGCAACAATGCAACAAACTTGCATTATAAACAATTTCAAAAATAAAACAGCTCATTTCCTTTAAAAATTAATTTCTTTATAAAATTTAAACTAAAGAAATAAGAAAGTTCGATGCTTTATCACACGGACCCAGCTAACAGAAAAGTACTTACATTTATTGCGAGGTTAATGAATCCGTACGTAAGCCAACCTCCCATAATTTAGCTTTAGAAAAAGTTCCAAAAACTCTTAGCTTATACATGAAAATATACAATAATATATTTTATATCAACAGGCTTATAATTACTTCCACTATCATAGACTTTTCTTTTATGATTATTAAAATAGTTGAATGTGATAAAGTTTATATTACTGATTTTTGAAAACTATAAACATATCCATTTAGTTGGGTCCATAAACTTTTAACTACCTGAATGAGAGCAGCAATTATGGCTGCAAATCATACAGAAAGCAAAGGTATTGCAAGTTGCTGTGGATATGTTAGTACCTACAAGAGATACTATTCATACAACTATTTCATAAAAACACACTAGCTACTACGTGATACTCAAACTTCATAGAACTGAAGGTAAAGCAATGTGTGGTGCTGGCACAGGCTGTTATTATTCAGCTAGCTGCACCTGTGACAGCTAGTAGCACCTGCAGCTGAACATAAGAAAATCATAGTATCAAGTGATTATATGATATGATACGTGATTACATGTAGCATTACTGAATAACTTTTATTTCAACATGATAGCGTTAAGCAGTGAAAATTTTTTTCCATTCTCTGAATCAAAGTTCAGATTGAAAGCAAATATTTTACCTATTAGTATGACGATCTTGAGGATATGGATAATCACTATGGCTTCTATGAGGTTTTCCTCTTTGAAAGCTGTTTCCATCATCTCTTGGATAATTTCTGTAATGATCCCTTTTGTTATATTCATTGGAATACCTAAATAATGGAGAATGAGAATGGGAGAAAAGGATGTATTAACACAAAATAAATTAAAAAATAATGAATAACCAATTGTTTAACAAAATATATAAGAACAATAAGGCATGATTTCTGGCCCTTAGAAAGATCAAATGAAATACTCTTATAACAAAGACTAGCACATATGGAAAAATCCTGGCAACCATTTTTAAAAAGAAGGAAGGTGGTGGGGTGACTTATCAATCCTGCCTTTGAAAACATTTGGTTTTCTGTAATCTTGTTCTTTAATCTTTTCTGGGTGGGCATCCCACATAGGCATTCTCTACAAACAACTTCCACAGCCAGGCGTCCTACCCATTCATCGCTGGAGATTGAATTTAGGGATGGCTGATGTGTATGTGCATTGCTGAACCATTTTTAAAAGACCACTAGATAGCATCTTGTGACGATTGCTTTCGAATTGAACAGAGTTTTAAAATCCTGACCTTCGGTTTGATGACATTCTACCTGACTCGGATGTCAGCTGTTGTGGTGGAGGAGAGAAAAGCATAATGTAAACATACAGAGCTCAACTCTTTAACTCACCACGATATAAACAGTCACGTTTTTTATATGCAGCATATGAATGAATCCTGCCTTTTTTTTGCTACTATATAAGGATTTATTTTTTGCTACTCTTTAAGGGTTACTGCTTGAAGTTTTGTTAAGCTTTGCACTGCTTTCGAGTATCTTTCCCATACTTTGTTTTGTTTTTATTTCGTAAAGTCTTGACTCCATTTTATTATGGTGAGAAAGTATTATTTATCAGAGGAAGAATATGGCATGCCTAACTGGCATGGTAAGTCAGCCAATTAGTGACATGGATGAGAGTGCTCATTCATTTTTAAAGCAACAGAAAGTGATATTTTTAGTGATTCTGATATGGACATTTTGTCAGAGACTGAGCTGACCGAGGGCCTGCCTTCCACTTCCTATCAAGATTTTGTTATTTCTTCTTGTAAATAGTCTTTCTTGCATTTTTAAAAAATTAATTTTAAGGATTATAAATATATTTTGCATATTAAAACTTAAGAAAAATCTGGATAGTTCTTCCAAAAATTATTTCTCAAAATAAGCAATTTGTTTTTATATATTTTTATGTAAAGCAACAGAAAAAGATAATTAAATGCTAATTTCAATGTATATGACAGCGCAAGTAATATTCTAAAATGGAACCCAAAATTATGAAGTTAGGGCTGAATTCCCCCCCCCCCGATTCTCCCCTAAAGTTAGGTTTAGCAATGCAAAACTCTCATCCTGTGGGATGACTCCACTCTGTCTCAAGGGAACATCTTAAACAAAAATTTCAGCAGCTCGGTTCCACCCCCTCTGTATTTTTTTGGCCTCTCACATTCTGAGGGGGAAAATTATTATGATTTGGGTCCTGCCCACCACAAAAGAGAATGCAACAGAGTACTCAAAAATATATGAAATCCCTCTAGGCATGATATGGCACTTCACATGGAAACAAACAAGTAATGGCATTAAAACTTGAGGAAAGCGATATGAGTTCAGAAAAGTACGTGGTTTGAGTATTCTACTGTTTCATTTTTGACTAACTCAGATTCATCTAAAGCTGGTGCCGAGAAATAATAGCTACTGAATGTGGAAAAGATTAATTAGGTTTCAAGTGACAATTATAAATTGGATTGCTAACATAAGAGAAGATTGCGCATACAGCCTTTTATCAACGAAAAACATTGGGAAGTCCTAACCACATTATTAAAATCAAAGAAAGCTTTTTTACAAAGCAGAAAAACCAGAATACTTCCAAGTAATGGAAGTTTAGGGGAATTTGCAAAGAAAGTAAGTGCATTTTATTGTAAGAGTTTCCAATGGGAAAATGACCACCCTCTTGCACGAAATAAAGAAAATATCAAAGTAAAATCGACGATTTATTCACATTCATGGAAGTGTGATAAAATAATGAGCTGTGAGATTTGAACACCTCAAAGTTAACCACTGATATAACTTTGCTATTCTGGATACAGGATAGCTTACCCAAAACACTCAATGACTCTGGGGTATGGCCAAAAGGCATAATAGAACACAACGGGGAGCTGTGCACCATCATTTAAATTCATATATTGGGAAATTTATGTGGAATTGGCTTCACACAGAAGATACATTTGTTACTCTTTTGAATGCAATTAATTTTTGGCTCCTGCGCTTAGTGGGATTCTCGGCAGCTTTGTGGTCAATAGAATTTTCCATAAGCACCCAGAGGTTAAAAGGAATGTTTTCATTGCAATTTTATGAGAAACAACTATTTTTAATATGTAGTAAAAAATATTCATACAATAAAAATCTAATAATCCTAAAATGCCAAATTTGAAGTCGATTAAAGCTACATTAACTAAATTATGCAAATTATTAACAAATTAGCACCATACTGGAATTAGTTCTTTACTTAAAATTACTTTTATTACCCTCACCCCCATAAAATTTACTTCTTTTTTAAAGTTACTCTTTCTTTTCTGTAAATTTCAAATCTGAAGGCACAAATTTCTATTAAGTGGCAAATGGCTTTAGCCAAAATAAGATATAGCCTTCATATAACCTTTATCCCAGAGTTTCGACTAACCAATTAACTGATCAACTGCTCCATATATGGTGAACATTCTACATCAGGACATTATCAGGATCTGCCACTCCAGGTAACCTCTTGTACTACAACCAAATGTTATAAAATATGCCGATTTCCCTCCCCTCTTGTATATGCTTGACACAAATAAATGTTTTTTCTATCTTGGAATCATAGTTATTTCTTCTAGATATTTTACAGGGGGTGGAGGGAGAGAAAGAACACTCTTTAAACGTCTTACTTGCATCTGATTTAAAAAAAAAAAATTATTTTGAGAAATTGGAGAAATTCAAAGCGTTATTTGACAATTATTGACATGGAAGAAATGTACACAATAAACAAGCTTAATTTTCTATAGTAAGTATTTCATATTTAGGCTATGTTTAAAAGGGTATCTTTTTAAAGACTTACCTATCTTTGGACCAATTGCCAGAGTAGGACGAATTATTCCAACGATCACCTTTCATTTTTGGAACATTATCTCTGTGATTGGCATAGCTATGATGATGAGGTACTGAATAACTATTAGTTGGACTTTTCTGGGGTAAGATGCCTTTGTCTGTACTTCGATTATCAGCAAAACTGGAAGAAAATATATCAAATGCAAAGTTGACAAACAAACATGTAATGAGCAGGCTAGAATATTTATATGTTCAGAAACACTTGCTATTATTAGTTATTCAATTAGAAAGATCCTGCTTGTTGAATATAAAATAAATAAATAAATGATTAAACATTAAAATTAAAAATGGAAATATATACTTTCTACAGTAAAAGAAATCAAATGTCATATATTATAAGATATACAAATGTGGTGACATTACCCTCACCCCCATAAATTATATGTTATTATGTATAATTATGTGTTATGATTATATAACTTATGTGTGAAAGTAGTAAAAGAAATTTTTTAATGAATTTTTTGCTTAGTTTATGACCACATTTTTCTTAAGAAAATTATAAAGAGAAGGTACAGAGGTAATATAAAGAGAGGAAATATTTCACAGAGGTGTACTACTATTATTATTTAGCAATTAACATATGAATTCCTCTTCTACCAAAATTTCAATACACAAAATAATAACACAATATGGCAATCAGAAATTCTATTAAAAAAATCACTTAACTCTAGTTAAACTAATTTTTTACCCCAAGAATTCCTTATTCCTTTTATTTAAATGACTAAATGCCTTGTATAACTCAGCAATATTACATACGGCTTGCCACATATATCAAATGTGTTCAGATGATGCATTTGGTTTCCAGTAAGTACAGCAATTACTAATGATACAAAATTTAAAAAAGCATTATTACTCCACAGAAAATCCCATTTCTACACTATGGCTATTGCTTAATTTTTCAGCCTTTATACACTGCTCTAAATACATTTCTTTGAATAATTGGCTAATCAAATTAACTCTTCATTGCCAAATTTTTTTTTTTAAATCCCGTATGTTTTCAAATTTCTTTCTTTAAAACAGGGATCTGCAAAGTGATAGATATAGACCGCAGGGTTTCATGGAAAAAGGTAATTTAAAAAGCACAAATCATAAGTAAATTGTACCTATTTAATTCTAAAATTAATTTTATGCTACTGTATATTTATATACATTACTATTATAAAAATTAATAACAAAACCTTAAAAAAGAAGAAATTAATAAATATTACTTCACATTTGCTATAAAAACATAAATATTCAAAATGGAATCCACTACAGTAGCATTATGAAAATGAAACCTCTCATAATTTTAATTTTTTGTTTACTAGTTTATATACATATACACATACAGTGGAACCTTGAGATACAAGCACCTCTTATACTAGGAAAGTATGAGCGAAAAATTCGTCTCTAAATACGAGCACTGACTCGAGTAACAAGCTAGACAGTTCGCAAGCTTGGCATGTTTCCTGATCTGGCTCGACTTGGGGAATCACCTTGCAGATCACTTGGTGTTCTTTGATATACATATTTTTACCCTTGTGAATTGTTTTTTACATTTAATGTGAAAATAATTATTTAACGATGCCTCCCAAGAAGATAGTTGCCTCAAATAGTGAAAAAAGAAAACAAAGGAAGCCATGGCTGTTGAAATTAAGAAAGAAATCAGAGATAAAGATAAGCGTGGTGTAAGAGTAATGGAATGGGTGAAGACTTAAGAATGTTCGACATCGACGATCTGCACTACTCTGAAGAAGAAAGAAATTAAGAAACTTAATATAGCCAAAGGAGTTACTGTTACTTCTAAGCACTGTCGAAAACTCCTAGTAGATGTTGAGAAGCTGTTGTTGGTGTGGATTAACAAGAAGCAGTTAAAAGGCGATTTGGTGTCGGAAGCTATAATTTGAACTAAGTCTAAGAATCTATATTTGGACCTTCTCCGAAAAACACCAGGTATGTTGACTGAAGATGAGATGGCATTTAAGGCAAGCCATAGATGGTTTGAAAAATTTCAAAAGAGAACTGGTGTTCAAAGTGTTGTGCGAAAATGGGAAGGCTGCGAACTCTGATGCAGCTGTTGCTAATAAATTTCAGCCAGAGTTCCTACAGTTTATTACTAGTGAGGGATTTCTTTCCCAGCAAGTGCTTAGTTGTGATTAAACAGGTCTTTTTTGGAGGAAAATGCCTAGGAGGAGCTACATAACACAACAGGAGAACTCTTTGCCCAGTCACAAGTCAATGAAAGACAGGCTTACCCTCTTGTTTTGCACCAACGCAAGTGGAGATTGTAAAAGGAAGCCGTTGCTTGTCTACCTTTAATAAAATCCATGAGTTTTCAATAAGGAGAAGGTGTGTGCGTGGGAACTGAATGTGATGTGGCAGGCCAACACCAAAGCGTGGGTAACACGGCAATTTTTAAGTGGGTCAATGAAATTTTTGATCCCTCAGTGAAGAAATACCTTCACGAAAATAAGTTGCCACTCAAGGTTTTGCTAATTCTTGATAATGCTCCTGCACATCCTCTAGGTCTTGAAGATGATTTACTGGAGGAATTTCAGCTCAGAAAAGTCAAGTTTCTTCCTCTTCAACTTTTTAACTTTAAAAAGCTGTAAACTAAGGCCTTGTTTCAAAAGTATTTTGAAGTGAGTGAAAATACAAGCCTGACCCCCAGAGAAATTTGGAAGTTTCACTGATAAAGCTTGGGAAGAAAACTCAGTGAGGACCTTGAATTCAGCATGGACAAAACTATGGCCTCAGAGTCTTGATTTAGGTTTCGATCCTCAACCCGTGGAAAAGTGTGGGTCTTGATGTGGATGGTGCTGATCTGAATGATGAATTAGTGAAGGAGCATAGTGAAGAACTTACAATGGACAAACTTAAAGAACTTCACAAGAAGCAGCAGCAGCAAGAGGTGGTAGAAGAGCTTTCGTTAGGGGAGGAGGAACAGGAGATGAGGTTCTCTCTTCCAGTAAAGGCCTGTCTACACGTAGCGATTTTCTCGGTTGACTTAGGTAGCCGACAATATCTGAGATAGCTTGTCTGACCACATGGAACGATTTTCTCGTTAGTACAAGAATTCACTCAGCCAATCATTGTGAAAGGAAGTGTTCCCGCCCTCTACTGCGTCACACTGTCTACGATTTGTAAACAAAGCTTACGGTGTTGCCAAATAATCAATATAATGAATGACTATTTTACTTTAAATTGTTACTACAGATACAGCTGCAATTTTGATTTAGCTACTGCTACAGAAGAGAAAAGGGGGAAAAAAAGGGGTTGGACCAGAAACGGAGTAAACACAGAAATTTATGGTGCTTCGTATACCGTGCCCGGGAGTGGCATTATAGGTAACGGTACAATTTGAAATATAATGATGAGGCGGCGTGATTTTGATTTTGCTAAATCTAGGTTCAGCAAAAATTTTTTAAAAACATGCTTCTTTGTGTAATGAGATTAACCTTTTTTATTTATTTGTATTTATTTTTAAATTTTTTTTGCATCCTATTTGTGCACTAATCATGAAAGAACATATCATGTTTCAGGAAAAAATAAGAACTACTGTCTTTAAATCAAAACAGTTGAATGAATAATAGACAATACTGTCAACACAAACTAGTACAGTCAAAGTTGTTTAATCGACTCGTCGGGACTCCGGTGACCGAATGATCGATTTTTCGGATTATAATGCATCAGTTAATCGGTAAGATACACAAGCAAATTATCATTACCACTGCCCGAACTCTAAAAGAAAAGTCAGAGATTTCTCCAAAATCAGAAGACACGAAGAATAATATCATGCTTGATATTAACAAAATAACATTTATAAAAATGAAAAAAAAAATTGGGCACAGCTTATATTAGGCCTTTTGCGACATTTTAGAACGATAAATGAAAATTATGATAACCTTTGTAACCCTAATACTGCGCGTAAACATGCCCATTTATGTCCACGCTATTTAAACAATTTGGTAGTATCAGCTTGATGGCAGGAGGATAATTGCATGTTTTTTCTTAAGTTACTTTTGTGTTAGGAAAGCACAATATAAAATATTTTTTAAAAAGCCAAAATTTTAATAGTTAAAAACTTGGTTTTATATTACATCGTAGAGTCACATTTTCATATTCAACTCTCATATAATTATAAACTCCACCACCCCAAGGAAAAAAAAAAAAAAAAACTTGCAGTAGCATGAGGTAAACTCTTGGTTTCTTGCTAGAGATCAAATTCCATGGACAAAAATACTTATTGCCTCATATACAACTATAGGATGTGTATGCATGAATCAGAGGTTAAATCAGGACCAAAATAGGATTCATATTGCTTTTATAACATTTTTAGAATTGTCTGACTATAAAAAATATATGTTGCTTAGTTCTGGAATATATTGCTTTATATTAGAGTTCAAATTTTGTAATCGTACCACCTAACAGCTTACATGAAGAACCTGCACTGGGTATTATACTTTTATTATGTATGTTGACAAACAGTCGACTTTTATTTTACTTTTATGAAAATTGTCTAATCTTAAACATTTTTCTAACAGAAATCTGAATTTTTTGTAATAAAAACTCTATAATAAACGTAAGATACAATTTATATATAAAAATTTGAACATGGAACATTAATACTGATTCAATGTCTTTAAAATGTTTATCATAAAGTTTAGATATATTTATTAGTTAAGATATACTTTTATTCTATTATAAAGTAGATACCGACATAGCACACTTGTGCTATGATCAGTCAATATGTGGAAGATCTTACGATACAATTAAGTTCAAATGTAATTTAATTCAAATAAATTTGTAGACAAGGCTCACAAATCAATTAATGCAAAGTTGGTTAAAAACTTAACTGGCAGGAATTCACTTCAGCATTATAATGCAGACTAGACTACAAATCTTATCTTATATAGCAACTAGTATATGGATCGAAGCAAAACTGGTTTGTTTACAAACTAAAAACTCATTATTCTGGTGAGAAAAAGATGGAGGTAATGACAGTAGATCCAAGCATAAAATAAATCTGGTTACAAAATAAGGAACACTACAATATCTTTGTTCCCCTATTATTATTCACTACATGAATAGTGAATGCATTTTGGTTTGCCATAATACAAAATTATTTATTTATTTATGCTT